TCGGTGAGCAAAGTTAGCTTATCAAGGAACTCCAAAGTTGGCGAGTAAGATCAACTTAGCAACTTGATTCTTGGCGAACAAAATCAGCTCGATAAGGAACTTCAAAGTTGGCGAGCAAGGTCAGCTCAGCAACTTGCTTTTTGGTGAGCAAAGTCAGCTCGCCAAGGAACTCCAAAGTTAGCGAGCAAGGTCAGCTCGACAACTTGCTTCCTAGCGAGCAAAGTCAGCTCGTCAAGGAACTCTAAAGTTAGCAAGCAAAATTAGCTCGGTAACTTGTTTCTTGGCGAGCAAAACCAACTCGGTAAGGAACTTCAAAGTTGGCGAACAAGGCGAACAAAATCACTCAGCAAGGAATTTCAAGGTTGGCGAGCAAGATCAGCCCAACAACTTGCTTCTTGGCGAACAAAATTAGCTCAGCAAGGAACTTCAAAGTTGGCGAGCAAGGTCGACTCGGCAACTTATTTCTTGGAGAGCAAAATCAGCTAAGCAAGGAACTTCAAAGTTGGCGGCAAGGTCAGCTTGGCAACTTGCTTCTTGGCGAGCAAAATCACCTTGGCAAGGAACTCCAAAGTTGGCGAACAAGGTCAGCTTGGCAACTTATTTCTTAACGAGCAAAGTTAGCTCGCCAAGGAACTCCGAAGTTGGCGAGCAAGGTCAACTCGGCAACTTACTTTTTGGCGAGAAAAATCAACTCGACAAGGAACTTCAAAATTGGCGAGCAAAGTTAGCTTGACAACTTGCTTCTTGGCGAGTAAAATCAGCTCGGTAAGGAATTTCAAAATCGGCGAGCTAGGTCAACTCGGCAACTTACTTTTTGGCAAGCAAAATCAACTCGGCAAGAAATTTTAACGTTAGGAAGCAAAGTCAGCTTGGCAACTTGTTTCTTGGTAAGCAAAATTAACTCGGTAACGAACTCCAAAGTTGGCAAGCAAGGTTAACTCGGCAACTTGTTTCTTAGCGAGCAAAATCAGTTCGGCAATGAATTCTGAAGTTGATCAAAACCATCAACAACCCTCTTGCCGAGCAAAATTCGCCCGGCAAGGAATTCTAAAGTTGATCAAAACCATCAAAAAATCTCTTGCGGAGCAAAATTCGCTTAGCAAAGAATTCCAAAGTTGATCAAAACCATCAACAAATATCTTGCCAAGAAAAATCTGCTCAGCAAGGAATTCCAAAGTTGAACAAAACCATCAACAAACCTCTCATCGAGCAAAATTCATCTGGCAAGAAATTCTGATCTTTCTGTCAAAATGATCGTTAGTTGCCCCTTGGACCGCGCTAAATCTGCTTGGTGGGACGGAAATACAACACTTCTCAAAAAATGATCTGTTTGTTTCATTACGTTAATAGTAACAAGGGTTACAAAAGTAAAACTAAGAATAAAACTTCATATTGGCAGTATTCGGTATTCCAGAAATAGATCGGCCATTTATATTTTGCGAGTTTTATGCCCTTTTTCCTCGGCCTTCTTACTAACGTCTTCCAAAACTGAACTCCCTAAATCTCTTCCATGGTTGTTTGCATGACCATCCTCTTGTCCGACTACTTGAATCTTTTCCGCTACTCTCTTATCCTCTACTACTAGACTTGTCTTCACGGTAGCTGCAGCTGTATCATCTTCAACTCGAATGCGCTCATTAATGTGTTGCATAAGCCGTTCCATGGCCAACGGTTGATTCATTGTGAACGAGTCTCTTAGTTTGTGTCCGACTGGAAGACCGCCCTTATACTGGATGATTGCTAGGTTCGTTGGGTAATCAAAAATCTCATTGAATGTCTGCCAATACTTGGCATTGTACACCTTCAAGGAGTCGTCCGTTTCCATCTTGATTCCCAAAAGGTGGTCGACTTCTTTGGGTGTTTTGGTGTTGGTCTTGAATTGTGTCACGAATCCCTCTGCCAATTGCTGCCACCTCTCGATACTTTCCTTTGGCAGCCTCTTGAACCATTTTAGGCCTAACTCGCCCAAACTCGATGGAAAAATAAGGCACATGAGCACATCATTTTGCCTATGCCCAGCCATAACCTGTCGAAAGTGGCTTACGTGCATGTACAAATCGGTCTTTTTGTCATAGAGTGTGAACTTTGGCTGATGGAACCCGAGAGGGAGCAGTGTGTTTTCGACCTCGACAAAAAAAAGGGGTGGTGCTCAGCTTTGCCAACTCTTTGTTAGGTGATGCGTATGTCGCCAAGCATGGTGGTGGCATGGTGACCACTTCACTAGCTAGCCCTCTAGGGGCCAACCGCTGCAATGCAGGCACGCTCTACGCTTCTCGCCGGCGAGGGTGCTCCTCTAACACATCCCTCAGGTCTTTTGAACGATTGGAGCATGAATATCCCAATGCCATCGTCAGACGTAAAGGGTGGTAACTGTTGTCCTGCGTACGAGATGTCGCCGCCGATGTGACGTAGTCTCTAGCTCTGAAGCTTCTCATGACGAAGAATGAATGGGTGCAGCGTCTATTTTGACTGCCGGAACGGCGAGAATATGCGTGCTTACTGTGGTTCTCCACTCCAGCGACGCACTTTTCCTTTATCTGGCTTTTCATGGCCTCCATCTCCATCGCTATCTTCTTGATGATGGTATCTTAGTCTCTCAACTTGTTTTCCAGGTATTAAGTATGTGAGTCTCGCTGTCGGCGATGCTCTTCTGGGCTGATAGAATACCCAGAACTTCTTGCGCGCTTGTGTCGCACATCTCTGGGAAGTCCTCGCACGGAGGTCTCTAAACTAGCCATTGTCGGAATAGCGAGCAGGCTATCTCTGCGTCGAACGAACTCTAGCATGATGTTGTCGATGACGGATAGCGGAATGTCGTCGTTGTTCGCCATAAAAGATTACCAGAAAAACCTGGAGGACAAGGTTTCTTCTGTCGAAATTCTCACAGACGGCGCCAATTGTACGGGGAGCAAATACTCGTCGCTATCCGTACTCCTCGTGTCCAAGGTTCGTTTCGCTCCGAATAACTTGAGAACACAACGATGGTAAGCTATTCGACAGGTGTGCTGCCGGAAAATCCTTCCGACGGTCAAGGTTGTAGAGAAATAAAGAGAGAGAAGACAAAAGAGAGATAGAGCTCTGGGTAACCAGAAATTTAGACATGTTGTATGGAGGCGCTGCTCAGTCTATATAGCCTCTGTGCGCGCTACTCTGCTCGTCCTTTCTTGGACGCGTGGCTATATTGCCCTCTCTATTCTTTACACATGAATCCGTCAATACCGCCAAACAACATTGGCCAAACTACCAAACTGTATTGACGCACACCATTGGCGGGTTTCTCTTCTCGCACTCCAATTGGACCACTTGGCAATTTCTATCGAGCTAGGCATAGCCCTATCAGTTCCAGCCTCAATTACAGCCAACCTTCAGGGTCAAGCTCAATAACTAGCTTGGTTTGCCCAACTCCGTTCGTTCCCGCTGACCTTACTCGGCCTTGGACCATCGCTTCACCTAGCTCGGCTTAGCCCGGTCCAACTTTCGGACCTTGGGCTAACTCAGCCGCATGATCTAAAACCTCGGTCAAACTGTCCTTGACTATATCAACTCGGTCACGTAATCCAACGGCAAGGCCCAAGTCACAACTAGTTTGACCCGTTTGCTTGGCGCAAACTCCCCTCGCAAGTTGCAAGAGAAACAAAAAAATAAGAAGGGGAAGAATGAAAACAGATGAAATAGGAAAACAGAAAAAAAAAAAAAAAAAAAAAAACAGTCTTGCATGTTTAAACACTTAACAACACTATTATTCCGAACTCATTTTTGAAAATAAACAATGAGAAAATTTATTTGTTTCCTTTTTACGGTTTTCTTGGTGCTGATCAAAAGATTCAAGCCAACTAGAACCACCATCAATGCAATACAATACATGTCCTTAAATTTCTTAAACATTTGTAAATGGGTTTATTTGTAAATTATATTTATATTTATTCTATTATATAAGCATTGTAAATGGATTTATTTGTAAATTATATTTATATTTATTCTAGTATATAAAACACACAATTCATAATATTTTTTCAAGTTCAGTCACTTTTCTTTTTTTTTTTTCTTTCTCAAAATTGATTTCCTGACTAGTGGTTGTTCTATTCTATTTTGGTTATTACGCTTTCTATTATATTTATTAGACTAGAAATAGTATTTTTCTAAATTTTTATTGTCTTTCTAAGTTTTCTCTTGTTGTATTGAATAGTTGTTTTGTTCTCGTAATCTTATTGCTCTTTCTTCTAATTTAGTTTTTATTTTTTTAATTTTTTATATCAAGGTGGTTTTAATTTCTATTAATATATCAGTAATATAATTGCTTTATCCTGCAGTGTTTTTAGTGATGCACACTATTTCCACCAAGTAATTTTAACTTAAACCTCTATGGGTCTTATTTATAATTTAAACAAATTTTTTTGGTCTTAATAACCAAGTGTTTGGCCAGCTTACGTACACCTTAATCAATAATTTGCATAATTTTTTTGGTCTTATTTGTAATAACGGCCTTCCACGTCAACCAATAAGGGTTGGTTTGGGATGTGGGTTGATTTTTTGACTTTTTTAACTTAAGGTTAAAAAGTCTCGTTTGAGATAGACTTTTTAGCTTTTTTGACTTTTGTGAAAGAAAAAATGAAATGATTATAATTTGGATGTGACATTTTATTTTATTAAACTAAAAACATTTTTTTTATGACTATTTTAGCCAAAAAAATCCCGTTTAACTTATGTCAAACGAGGGCTAAGAAATGCCAATAAAGCACGAGTTCCCTTCTTTTCCTTTTTTTTTTTTAAGTGATGATATATAATTTAATGGTAACATTTCACTTTAAAATAAAATATTTATAAAATTAATTTATATTTATAACAATACCATTGTCACGCCATTTCTTTAATTTTTTTTTTAGTATGAATTTATTATATGAACAGAATTTTTATGTTTTAAAAAATATTATTCAGTTTTGTTTTTTCTATAAAAAGAAGTTTCCTTCCCGACCCCAAAAATTTGTTTATAACCAGACAATTTCAGCCGGCTAGACTAGAGAAACTATTGATCCAGTTTTTGCTGGGGGAAAATCCTATTTAAAGGTAGACTCACTTGCCTGTGCTCGGGCCAGTTTCTTCTCTTCTATTCTCTTCTCTTCTCTTCCCTCACCGCCCATAGTTACATCAACAATTCTAGTTATGTAACATTTTCATTGATATTCACTTAGTTTACTACTCTACTTGCCAAAAAAAAAAAAAAAAATGAGACCAAGTCGATTCACACCAGTCACAGAGCTTGTCAACATGTTGGATGTCGAAATGGAGATTAGAGAGGTACGGAGCCTATCGCCCGAGGGATGCTATGGCGATATCATCACGCTAGCCCCCTACGAACGAATAGAAATAAGTGCGAGATTGTTTCACCAAAGATGTATCGATTCATCAAGGTCTTCTCTTCTCAAAATATTCATCGGTGACCACCAAACAAACCGTGTATTGAAGCCGTATCAATTCATCGCTTACTCGAGGATCGTATTCAGTAGGGATCATCAGAATCCACAGCTCATCTTTATTAGAGGGCTTAGATCCTCTTTCTTGTATAGGTTCAAGTTGAGTCTCGTTCCCGCTGACCTTACTCGGCCTTGGACCATCGCTTCACTCTCTCTTGGAAAACATTTTTTTTTTTATTAAATTGGTTATTTGTTTTGTTTTTCACTATGCTTTGCTCTTGTTTCGATTTCTTCTCAGGGGCTTGCGTTTTCTTGTGGGGAAGAACAACTACAACGGGATGCCGGAAGAAGAGATCCATTGAGTTACAATGATTTGAAAGCAGCGTTAAGAAATTATGAACTCTTTATGCTCTTATCCTGTTTAATATTGTAATTTATAATTTTAAAAATGTCACCGCCATATTATTGTTGTGATATTTTTTTTGAGTGTGTAAATATTGGTATATGTACAACAAAAAACTTTAAATTATGAAATGTGTAAATGGTATATGTAAATATGTAAAATATGTTATTACGTAAATATACAAAATGTGTGTTAATTTTTTTTTTCTTCTATATTATTTGATTATTAGCAAGCATGTCCAAGGCATTTTAATTTTATAAAACTTAGTACTGATTAATTTTATACACTCAGTTAGGTTGTATTTGTATATAAAATTATGATTCAAACACAATTTAAGAAAAAATATATATTATCTCCATTTTAGGCTTGGTTTAAATTTTCATAAACTTCGAATCCAAAGCTTTTTCTTAAGAAGGATGGTAGTGTTGTGTGCAAGATCGATCTTGTGATTAAGGGTGACAAATTAAAGAAACAACTCGAGTTCGACTTTTGTTTGGATCGTTAAAATCCGTTTGAATTCAATTTAGGTCTCGTTTGTCAATTATATATTTTAGTCAAAAATTCAAAAAATTACTATAAGTTATCACATTACTCTTTTTATTTTTTTGTACATATTTTTGTAAAAAACTAAAAAGTTACTAAAATAGTCTGTTCTTAAAGGAGGCCGTAAATAAGTCAAGTTTGAACATATTTCAAAACTCGTTAAAGTTTTAAACAAAACTTGAACAGTCAATTACTCGTTTGGATCAATTTAATAAACCTATAAATTATATAAAAATGTCAAACTATTCGAACTTAGCTCGACAAAAACTCGTTTAAGATCGCCTTGCAAAATTTGACAGACTTAACTTCAACAAATTTTAAAACTCATTAAAATTTTAAAACTAAATTTAAACAATTAACTATTCAACTCATTTATCACCCATTCGCGTAAACATATCGACCATCTTGCTCCGATCGGGCCGATAAGAAATAAAAAATAATTTTGATTGGGTGTTAGAGTAGACCCACCAAAACTCAACAATATATACATTTCAATTGACTTTGCAAATAGGGGATCACATAACCAGAACAACAGATGAAAAATCAAAAAATTCTTGCGATATTAATTTGTGATTATATTTCAATTTTAACTTGTGAATATCAATCTCAATCAAACAATTAATAACAAATCGGCATAATAATATAACGTGAAAAAAAATAACAATTGGAGCAACTCCAATTGTAATAAAAAACCATAGGTGAAAGTCAAAAAATAATCTACTAAGAAAATTAAAATGAATTATGCACGAGTACTCTCAATTACTTAGCGAATCCACACATGAATTAAACAAAATTCGATCTACCTCTTTCACCACCGTCTTCACATCGAAATTACTTTGCCCAACGATGAATCCACAAAACCAATGTTGAATCCACGACGCTGAGTCACTCCGGAATCTACCAAAGCTTTAGGTCCAAATTCTCCTGAATCCATCGATGAACATCTCCCTCTTTTTATTAATAAACGAACAAAATCAACACTTGATGTTTATCAATATGTAATTCGTTGACCAATCGATTACTTTCCATACATTAAGGAAACGCATATAAACCACCCTTCAATATAGAACACTTTGCATTGTACTCCTCTCTGAAAATCTAGATAGGTTAAATCCTAAAAATAGTAAATGGCGACGTTGTTGGTTTGCTGTTGTTGATGTTGAGTTGCTGTTGCTGTTGTTTGCTGGGTGGAGTTCATAGTTGATAGGGGTGATTTGTCATTGATTGATCCTAAAGGTTGCAATTTTGTTGTTGTTCGTGTTATGCTTGTTTTGTTTGCTCTGTATTTTGGTTACTCACCAACTTTGAACTTAAAGTTTGTACTAGCAGATGATTTGGTGTGCATTTTGATGCCAATCTGGTTGAGATATTGATGTTTCACTATAATACTTTTTGCACCCTCCTCTTTATTTGTACTTTTACCATACCAAAAATGTCTAAGACTCCCTTTTTTCCCCACCCCCTTTGACTCCCTCTCTCTCTCATTGGTTGGATTTTCTTTTTCTTTTTCTTTTTTTGTTTCCCTTGTCCTCTAATCATCACCTGCCACATGTGTGTAGGGGTGGTGATTGGGGGGTCTCCATCACTCCTCTTTCCCATACTCTGTATGTTTTTTCATCAATAAAACTTCTTTTTTTTGCTGATAAAAAAAAAAGAAAAAAGAAAGAAAGGCTGCTCAAGCAACATGAGTAAAAGACGGTACAAACATATAGGTCAATTGCTCGAGCGCAACTTCCACCACTCGTTGTGCTCGAGCGGTAAAACATATTTCTCAAAAGTTCAGTTTGTAAGTAGAAATACTGGATAATTCACTTCATCACTTGAGCGCACAAATGACCACTTGAGCAGTCAAATAAGGAATGCTCAAAATACGAAATGTCAGTACATACTCCTCTACACATGTACAATTGAGGTTGGATTCGAATCTAAATACTCACAACCTCACTGAAATAAAAGAGAAAATAAAATTACAATTAAAAAGAATTTTGTTAAATGGGATTGCTGATTACAAAAACCTAACAATAGGTAATTAATTATGTTTAATATTTAACTTGTTAATTTAATAACTTAAAGTTGTAGATTAGAAAACTGGAAAAAAAAAAAAAAAAAAAAAAAAAAAAAAAAAAAAAAAAAAAAAAAAAAAAAAAAAAAAGAGAACAAACAAACAAACAAACAAAAACAAAACAAAAACAAAACAAAATGGTGAATGTGACTGCTTGAGAAGTGAAATCTGTATATTGTTTTAATGTGATTGCAGTTGGGTTGGAGCTGAAGCCATGCTATATTTTTGTAAATCTAGCCTTTAGCTTTTTGTTGTACAATTTCTTATAATTTCTGATTTTTTTCGTAGGGTGTACGAATTTTTTTGGTAAAACTCAACATTGAAAATGATTTGCATGAGCAAGGTATTCAAGAATCTAATATTCACAAGATCAACCCTCTTTTGTTCCTATATGAGATCCTAACAGATAAACATATGGCTGCATATGAAGTATTAATGTTTAACTTCACTATATCAAATTAAGATGTTTAAGGATAAATTGAAGTTTTAGTTGTCAAAAGTATTATTATTTTATTTTTTGCGATGAAATTGAATACTAGTGATAAATTTTTTTGGGTCTAAATTTTTATTTCAGAAGTGAACATTTTGTACACCAAATCATTGTACCAACAAGTAAATTTATTATCTGATCAAAAAAAAGTTAAAAAAAAAAAAAAAAAAAAATACAAGTAAATTTATTAGTGATATTTTTAAAATTATCTTAAAATTATTTTTTTTAAATAACTTTTTAAGACGATTTTTAACAACAACCATCACGATAATAAAAATTAATCCCAAATATTTTTTATAATAACATTTTCACTTTGAAAATCAAAAAATTTAATCCTTATAATCCTTACATATTATAGTGCTGGTCAGTTGCTAAAGATCTAGTTATAACTGTGCGAAAGTGATCTAGTGAACTCAGGAGAGAAAGAGAGGGAAAAAGACAGAAAAATACTTTCTATTTTTATTTTTGGTACTTTTGTATATAATAACAGATGTGCATGACTTATCATATATTTTAACACATCAATTGTAATATTATTCACTTTCTAAATTAATAATATCTTAACACATTAAATTAAGTCAGACTTATATCACTTTTTATTATATAATATATTTTAATAAATTTTTAATCACTATTGTAAATACTTTATTTAATATGAAATTTATTCATAATAACTAGTATTTTTTAATGTAAATGCTTTCGTTGTTTATATAGTTGCATTTGGTTGACTTGTCACTTATTGTATATGTGGGAACTTTTTAATATTTATTTTAGTGGTTGAAAGAAAAGTCATATCCGTTAGCTCATACCTTACGTTGTAATGTTGCACGTCATGCAGCTTATAGTGTGGGAGGAGACATAAGTTGACATTTTCATTGGGAATGTCGTTAAGTAAGTTTCAAATCTTAATTTGTTGAAGAAGATCTGCTATAGAAGAAAACTAATGGTCTAGAATTTGAATGAAATCAAGATCCACCACTGATCACTTGTTAGTTTTGCGACACTACAGAACACGAGTGTTCATTCAATAATTTTGTTGGAGAAATAAACTAGTCAATTCAATAATTTTGTTTGAAAAGAGGGTTTTTGAATTAAAATAGTTAATAAAAAATAGTTAATAAAATAAAATGTTACATGCAAAATATATATATATATTTTTTTTACATTCATCAAATTAATTAAAAAGAATAAGAACAAATTACAAACGCATTTCCTGAGATTTACTTAAATTACAAATTATTCCCTGTAATTCTAAAAATTACATTATGTCTTCCAAGGTTTCTAATTTCATAACAAATAGGTCTTTTTATTAATAAATCATCAATTTAATTAACAATTTTTAATAATGTTAAAATTTTATTTCAATTAATAATTCAGATAATTTTATTATTATATAGGTGAATATTTAGAAATTTCACTTTTTCAATTAATTCTATTAAATAAAAAATTCTGACTAGAATGTATTTATAATTTTTCAAACCACATGAGGCAATTTATATTTTAAACAAAATTCAGGAGGTGTATTTGTAATTTATCAAAAAAATAAAGTTAATTATTTTCCTAAGCACAACCCTTTTAACCTCATTAAAATAATCAAAAAATAACTAAAATGGTAACTTCCCAAATGAGCTGCACTTTTCATTAAAAGACAAATTATTCCTTGTAGTTTTAGAAATTATATTTCACCCTTGAGCTTTTTAATTTCATAACAAATCACCCATTTTATTAATAAACCATCAAGTCAATTAATTGTTTTTAATGTTATTAGAAATATGTTTCAATTAATAATTTATGTAATTTTATTATTGTATAAGAAAACAATTATGAATTTCATTCTTTTAGTTAATTCTGTTAAATAAAAAATTCTAATAAGGGGGTTTTTGTAATTTTTCAAACCACAAGGGGTAATCTATATTTTAAGCAAACCTTAAGGGGTGTGTTTGTAATTTATCCAAAAAAATTAAGAATAAAAATATGAACTGAAACAAACTCTTTTTTTTTTTTTTTTTTTGTTAGTTGTTGTTGTTGTTGTTGTTAACCTAAGCAGATTCCATCTCCTCATTACCGACTCATTGATAGAAGGTAACTAGAAGGTATAATAATTTCAGAAACCTTGGGAGACCTTTTTGTAATTGTCAAAAAAATTCAGGAGATTGATATAATTTACCCTAAAACCTCTCATTAATAAATTCTTAGTGGAGTCTGTGTTGTGATTCATTTCTGTTTCTTCTTTTGATTCATTGGTCAAGCACAAGGAAAATCACAATGTTTGAGAAGATCACAAGCATTAGCTTATCAAGATATATGGAAACCTAGCGGCATCTTGAGAGGATGTCCTTGTTGGGTGCAGTTTGTGTAGTACAAATTTTTCTTCTTTTTTTTTTTTTTTTTTTTTTTTTTTGGGGGGTACATCGGAAATGATTAGCAAATTTATCTTGACATTTGAAATCTAGTCTCTTTTAACGCCACTCCAAAATTAAATTGATTAAAAATAAATTGGTGAAAATCAAATTAAATCCTTAACTATGATCGACTTAATTCTAACTAAGATTTTTTTTTACTTTTTTGTCAATAGATAAGAAAGTGATTATAATTATGAAAAATATTTATATTATCAAATAAACTAGTTCACAATAATTAGAAAGTTAAATAAAGCCTAACACAACCAATCTACAAGTCCACCAAGCCCAAAGCCCAATACGTACAACCCCTATAATGGAGGAGAAATAGATTGTCACCACAAAGTATATCATACTCCTCTCCGTAAAAGTTGAACTCGAAATCTCACACCACAAAAGGGTGTTACACAATCACTAGGCTACAAAGGGTGTTAAGAGCTAATTACCGACTTGAATATCACTACAACAAATTACACTTTTGGCAAATAAATTTACTGACTAAAATAATTTAGCTGCCAAAAGTTCTACAATAGGCAACTAAAAAAATGATTGGTTGGCATTAGTTTAGGGTTTAGGGTACTAAATATTTTTTAGTCGTGTTATAATATTTTTTACCGACTAAAAAAAAAATTAGTCACCAAAAGTGCCACAATAGGTGACAAAAAAAACTATTGGTCGACATTAGTTTAGGATTTAGGCTATTGTTTTAGTTGTGGTATATTAATTTTTGCCAACTAAAAAAAATTAGTCACCAAATAATTTCACTTTTAATCTTTGGGGACCAAAAATTTGGTCACTAAATATGTATTTTTTGTGATAAAAACATAGGCTGTTGTTGGGCTGGCTGTTTTTGTCCTGTTTTTAGGTCTATGTTGGGGTTTTTGGGTTGTCAGCTATTGTTGGGGTTTTTGGCTGTCTATTATTGCCAGAGTGTATTGTTCACCTTTGAATTGGAATCTCTCCAATTCCTCTTCCTTTGTTTTGGGCAAATAACTTTTGAAATGCAATGGGATACAATACAACAATGTTTTCAACAACTTACCTAACATTTACTGACATTGTAAGTCTTATAAAAAAAAAATGTTACCACATAGGCTACTACTTGCGTAATGCTCCTCTAGGATAATAAGTTGACAATTATAAATTAAAAGAAATAAGAGAAAATTACACCATTGGTCATTGTAATTTTTTCTTTATGTATGTTGTTTAATCGTGTTTCTATTTGGTGGTGTTTATCATGCTTCTATACATCAATAAAATCTCTTCTTCGCTCATCCAAAAATAAAAAAAAAAATTACTAATTGCATTGGTTTGTAAAAGACTAAAAGGCGAGCTGCTTTTTAGTTGTTGATGTATGTTGTTTAATTCTGAGTTGTTTCTATATGTTTATGCACATATTTATGCCATTTCTGGAAGGACTTATGCAAAGCTTTCAATTGCAAACCCAAGTGTGAACCTATTGTGTGTAGTGGATAGTGCGTAGTGCGTAGTATGACTTCCATGTCCTATGATGTTAGTATTTCAAAATATTTAGTTTTTTCGGAATGTGCTTGAAATTGTCCTTGACGCAATGAATCAAAATTGTTCTACATATGATAAAAAGTTGACTCTTTTTTTTTTTTTACACTTCTTTTTATAAAAAAAAAATTACTTAAAAATTCAATTCTCAGACATCCTGAATATACTCCTCAAATCTGAATTTTAACATAAATATATAATGATTTTCAAATTTGAGTAGATTCTGTGGCCCAATTATTAACTTCAATAGGCTCCAAAATTTAGCGGCTAAATTTTTGCCCTTTGTGGTTCGATAATGGACCGCCCATATGGCTCTCCTAATTTCCTCTGAAGGCCATTATATGAATAACCAACCCACAAAGCCAGTTTGTGGCCCAATATAAACTAAATTTTGTGGCCCAAAATTTTCAAAAGGCCAAAAATTTTCAGCCCTTTTGCAGTCATAATGTTAGCACCATGTGGCCCAATATCTTGCATCCATAGGCCTTAATGAAATTCAACAAATTGACTTTTTAATGTCACAGGTATCTCACACATAATAACCTAAGGTCATGTTTGATTGGGCGGACTGGATTAGCATTCCCATGACTAATAGTCCTAGGACTACGAATCCGTTGGATTATGTATCCTATCTTAACTAATAGTCAAGTTTAAAATAATTAGTCCGTATTTCAATTGTTTAACCAAACATCAGATTAATAATTTTGTTGGACTATTAGTCCAATCCCAAGCTCATGTCCACCCAAACAAACATGACCAAAGGGTTTTATAGTCCATGAAAAACCAAAACATAATAATTTAAATTAGGAAATGTTATTATGTTATTATAATTCGTAATTATTATTATAAATATCATAACTTTTCTTACCACGAAGTCTCACTCTGATGGCTTGGTGGTTTGGGCTAGAGATGTAAAGAAAGTAATTTGGAAAGCTGTGTTTAAAAAATAAAAAATAAAAAATAAATGGTGGTACTATATACACCAATATATATATATATATATATTGGTGGAACAATTTAAATAAGGGAGCCGTTATTCTCATTCTACTTTATTCCAAATCAAGGTTGTTAAGATCGCGATCCGGATCGTAGGATCGTACGATCTTACGACTCACTATACACTATTCAATCCGGATTGTACATCGGATCGATCCCAGAGCAGGATCATGGTGGAATCGACGGGATCGGTAGGATCGCATCTGGATCGCGACTCCATGCGATCCAGATTTGAAGGATTTTTTGGACAACTTAAAAGCCAAATTGAGACCTAAAGTGAGAGAAGCAGAGAAGCAAAGCAGATTAGGGCAAACGAAGAAGACTGACCTGGGGAAAGAGAGATTCAAACATTCAACATCAAACGAAGCCTGACCTGGACAAACAACCCCAGGTACGCTGCTTCCTCTTCCTCTTCTTCTTCTTCTTCTTCTTCTTCTTCTTCTCCCTCTCTCTTCTTCGCTACGATGCGACTCCACTCCAGGTGTCTGCTGCTCTGTTTTTTTTCCTTCGAATTCGAAGACTCTTCTTCTTTCTTTCTTCATTGATCTCTCATTCTTTCTTCACTGAATCTCCTTCAGTGATTTTTTTTTTGGCTCTTATTTATTTATTTATTTTTGGTTCTGATTTATTTATTTATTTATTTTTGGTTCTGTAAATTACCTCTTATTTATTTATTTATTTATTTATTTTTGTTTTATAAAAAAAAATACTAAAAACAACTAAACAATCATTCTTCATCAATAAAGAAATTTTATTATGTGAATCAACATATGGGTATGATCTGAGCACCCTACTGTTGTAAAGCTCTTTAGATGACCAAGTCATTATCTTCTTTATTTATTTATTTATTTCTTCATTGAATCACCTCTTATTTATTTTTTTCCTTCACTGAATCACATTCATTTTGAGGTATTAGTCTTCCACATGCCAACATGCTTGGCTAAGTAAAAACTGTCTGGAGAAACATTCATTTTGGGGCATTAATCTTCCACATTGAATCACCTCTTATTTTTGCTCTGTTTCTCTTTTTTCTTTTCTTTTTTTCTTCTTCAATTTTCCTTCTTCTTTTTTGTTGCCTGCAATGCTATAAATGATAATGCTACTGCTGTTTTAATTAGCCCTTGGGAATGGAAATTAAAAACATGAACTGTCTATGTCTTGTGCCTTTTTACAATTTGCCAAATGTTTACAATTTGTTGCAATTGCAGGAATGTCAGCCTCTGGTTCAGGAAGAGGGAGGAAGAGGAAAAATGTTGTTGGTCTAAGATCTGATCCTAGTAGGGAACACGGCATCGAAGTGGATGCTACAAGCAAAAAGGTAAAATGCGAATACTGTAATATTACTCGTTCTAGAGGAATATATAAATTGAAACACCATTTGGCATGCACTCATCAAAATGTTGAACCATGTCCCCAAGTTCCGGAAGATGTTAGGGAAAAATTTATGAGTCTTTTGAGAACTCAAACATTGGAGTCTCAAAATAAGAAAAAGAGAATGCTTGATATTGGTGATGATGATTCTGATGAAAAAGTGGAATTATTGCATGTCGGTGACCATGAAAACAAACAAAAACATTATAGGCGTATGGATAAATTTGTGGTGAATAAGTCTCGGCATCAAAATCAAAAAACTATCAATCAATTATTTAAGAAAGAAGAGAGAGATGATGTTTGTTAAACAATTGCCCGATTTTTTTACACTAGTGCAATTCCTTTTAATTGTGTCAACAACCCTATATTTCCACTTATGGTTAAGAAAATTGGAGATTATGGAAAAGGCCTTGTGCCACCATCTTACCATGAAATTAGGGTGACATTTTTAAAAAAAGAAGTGCAAGAGACATTGCAATTGCTTGATGAGTTCAAGGAACAATGGAAGAAGACCGGGTGTACAATTATGTCCGATGGATGGTCGGATAGAAAGAGAAGATCAATTTGTAATTTTCTTGTCAATAGCCCTAATGGAACTATCTTTCTATCCTTATTGGATACATCTGACATTTCAAAAACCGGTGAAAATGTTTTTGAGATGTTGGGTGAGATTGTTGAGAAGGTTGGAATGGAGCATGTTGTGCAAGTGGTGACCGATAATGCTTCTAATTATAAGTTGACGGGAGAAATGTTAATGGATAAGAGGAAGAGCTTGTTTTGGACACCTTGTGCCGCTCATTGCAAAGATTTGATGTTAGAGGATTTTGAGAAGCAAATCCAACTTCATCAAGCAAATCCAACTTCATCGAGTTACAATTAAAAAGGGAAAAAGAATTGTGGCATACATTTATTCAAGAACAAATCTTATTCATTGGATAAGGGAGTTCACAAAAGGTATTGAACTTATTAGGCCCGCGGTAACACGATTTGCCACATCTTACTTGACCTTGAGGCGCCTTCATGAGCAAAAGGGTGCATTGTTCTCTTTGTTTACATCATCCAAGTAGAGGAATAGTCGATTTGCAAGGTCTGAAAAGGGTAAAAAAAATTGAAGATATTGTTTTAGATAATCATATTTTTTGGAAGGGCGTTTCTATGTGCTTGAAGGCTGCGGTACCTCTCATTAAAGTACTTAGATTGGTGGATTCGGATGAGCATCCGGCGATGGGATTCATTTACGAGGCAATGGATCGTGCGAAAGAGGAAATTCAAAGCAATTTCAATAATGTTTTCACATGGTAAACTTTTAATTAGTTAAACTTATTTACTTTACTAGTATATTTCTCTAAACTTTTTATTTGTTCATTAATACTCTTTATTTAATGGTGTTAGCTATGATCCTATATGGACCATCATTGATAGAAGATAGGAATCCCAACTCCATCACCCATTGCATGCTGCAGCATACTTCTTGAACCCTCAGTTTCATTACAGTCCTAATTTTCAGCCCGATGCGAAGGTTAAAATTGGGCTGTACAAATGTCTTGAAAGAATGGTTCCTGATGTTAATGAGAGGGTGAAGATAGATTTGCAAATTGATGCATTCAAGAGTGCAAGAGGGCTCTTTGGCATACAAAATGCAATCATGACTAGGAAAAAGAAATCTCCAGGTGTTTTTTTATTTTTACTATAAGTTAATTTGTATAATTTTTAATATCTTATTATTTGTTTTCATTTCATCAATTTTAAATTTCTAACTAAACTTTCATGTAGCTGATTGGTGGGACTCTTTTGGTGATGAATGCCCTGAGTTGAAGAGGTTTGCAATTAGGTTATTAAGTTAAACATGTAGTTCATCGGGGTGTGAGCAAAATTGGAGTGCTTTTGAGATGGTACATTCAAAGCAAAGGAATCGTTTGCACCAAAAGAGAATGAATGACTTGGTGTTTGTCATGTACAATTTGAAATTGAGACAACGACACATGAATAGACAAGCAATCGTGAATCTATTATATTTGGATGATATCCCATCAGATGATGAATGGATAACAGACAGAGAGACTCCGACTCTTCCAAGAGAAGGAAATTGGTTGAGTGTGCATGATAGGAATGCTCGACATGGATGTGATTCGGATGAAGAAGTGGAGGCCCTTGCAAGGAATTTGGAAGAAGCTTGTAAGTTTATGTACACATCTTTTAGTTTTAATTAGAAATTATAACTTTAATTTTACTTTTAATTTTTTTGTTTACTCCAACTTAGGTCGTGATCATATTGGTAGAGAACATGATGAAGTTCATGAAGTAAGTGATGATGATGCTATGGATCAAAACATGGATGCTCAAAGGGATTTTGATCATGACTTTGAAGATGCTACTATTGGTGAAGACATTGAGGACTTGGATGGCACCGGGGGTGGTGATGATGATGATGACAATGATGATGTGGCAATGATTAATGCTGATTGTGGCAATAATGATGATAATTTCGGCGACAATGAGGGCTTATTGTAGTTTTTATTTGTTCTTCCTCTATTTAGTTTGTTTTGTTTTCATTAAGAAACAATGACAATGGTGCGCAAGTGTTAGTATTTGGTTTTATTATGTTTTTGACTTCTTTTTTTGAGAAAAAAAAAATGTTTGAATGCTACATTGAATTGCTATATTTCTTTTTTTGGGGCTTATTCTATATATATTTTGATAGTATTATTTAGTCATATAAAAATTATTGCATTTTTTTATCATTTTAGTAGGATCTTACGATCCTCGATCCGATCCTACGATCCGATCCGACAGACCCTAAAACAATCTTGTGTAGGATCCCGATCTTAACAACCTTGTTCCAAATACATTTTCTTCTTTATTTTTATTATACATAGTTACATTAATATCTTATCATACGAAATACACTATCTGAAAAAACTAAAATTCTAAGGATATTAATGTAACTATGTATAATAAGGATAAATAAAAGAGTGTATCTGAAATAAAGTGGAATGGAAATAGCAGCACTCTTTAAACAACTATTATATATTTCATGTTCAAGTGTTGTTTGCCTATTATATATAGATCACGAGTGAGTGCAAATGCAATATATTTTAAATTTTTATATTTAAATTTTTGGGATAATTTCAAATCAGTTGAAGTTTTGAAAATATTTCAATTTAATGGTAAATTTTATAAATATTAAAAACTAAAATTATAAACTTTCTCATGAATTTATAAATAGTTTTTGGAGTTGCCTCTTAAGATGTAAATTCGCCTAAATTTTTTAGCCTTTTGATGAATGAAAAAATGAGTTCATGTGTGTTTTATATAATAAAATAAATATTTCTTGCTTGTTAATCTTCACAATTTTTATTAGACAATAGTTATTACCAAAGCAAGCATTGGATTGGCTGAAGTGTGTTTTAGTCAGTACAAGTTACTGAATAACTACTTAGAGCATCTCCAATAGTTTGCTATTGGAGCTGCTATTGTTAAATTATGACAGCAGTTCATGGAAAGCCACCTTCAATAGTAAGTTTTAGCAACTGTTATTTTTGGCAAATGCCAAAACTTGTGTCAAATATGGCATAAGGTTTGGCAACTGCCAAAGCTGCCAAGTTAACTTCAACCAACCGTTTCCTCCCACCCTCTCTCCCTTTCTCATCATCCTTTCGGAACACAGAAGCAATTTTCCCAAAAAATACCAAAAAAATAAAAACAAAAGCAGAATTTCTAGAAATATAAAATAATAAAATTGAAAATTTTCAAGCAAGCAAGCAAAATTTCAAACAAAAGCAATTTCAAGCATGCAAGCAAAATTGAACAATTTCAAATAGAAGCAAGCAAGCAAAATTTCAATTTCAACAATTTTAAGCAAAACATATTTTTTTAAAAAAAAAATTAGATAATAAACATAGTGAAGTCAAAAAAAAATACCTGATAGAAATGGTCTTTATTAGGGTTGATCTTCTACGTATTCTTTGGATGATCTTCTTCATGTTCTTCATTAGGGTTTTGATCGTTGGAGATCCCTCTCTGTCAGTGATGATCGTTAGGGTTTTGAATGAAAGGGTTCGATCGTTAGGATTAGGGTTTCAAAGAGGAAGAAGGTGAGAGATAGGGAATTGTGGTGAAGAAGAGGGTTGAAGATCGGAAAAGGATCCGAGATCGACGGTCTAAGTGTTGGTGGTTCAGTTGATTGTGGTTGTGGTGGTTCCTTTCACTGTGGTGGTGGTTATGGTGATGAAGAATGTGAGAGACAAAGGGAAAAGAGGGTTGGAATGCCATTTATTTTTCAATGTAATTTTGTTTTTGCAATGTATTATTGACTATTTTTTAGTATTAATTTAATTTTTTAATGTTATTATGAACAAATAAATATATTATTGAAATGAAGGCAATAAAGTTGCAAATGAAAAAAAAAATTATTAAAATAAAAAGACATTACATGACAGTAAGTGTCACTAAAAAGATAAAATAAAAACTTAATCTAACTCTCCAGATTGAGACCACAGGTGTTTAATTAGATCATTACGAATTGCATTATGAGTTTCAGTAGACCTAAACCTCTGGTGATTTAACATAAATTCAGCATACTCCTGATTTGGATCGTGTGACACTTGACATGGGGTATTAGTGGTATCAGTTTCCAGTAGTACTACATTGTGTTCATTTTTTGGAATATTACGCTCATCTTCAATGATCATATTGTGCAAAATAGTGCACATGTTCATGTAGTACATATCCTCATCACTCTAACCTCTCACTGGAAACAATATTAAAACGTGCTTGGAGTACTCCAAATGCCCTTTCGGCATCCTTTCGACATGCCTTTTGCATCCTTGCAAATAGTTGTCTCTTTAAATCTTGAGATTGAGATATTGTTTTCACCATCGTTGCCAACGAGGATAGATACCATCATCAAGATAATATCCCATGGTGTATGTGTGATTATTAATGGTATAGTTGGAAGCAGGGACACGTCCTCTAGTTAATTTAGAAAACAAAGGTGTCAAGAACAGTAATATCATTTAGATAGCCAAGCATGCCAAAGAAAGCATGTCAAATCCACAAGTCGTAGGAAGCGACTGTCTCGAGTACAACTGTTGGTTTGTGGTAGTGTCTAGTATAACACTAACTTTGGTAGTTGGACATTTATCCCAATACCAGTGCATACAATCCAAACTCCCTAACATTGCAGGAAACTCACGTTGCTCTCATTCTTGCAATAATCTGGTAACATCTGACTCATTTGGGGATCTTAAGTAAATAGATAGTAACAATCGTTTTGGTAAAGAAACTCAAGGCAGCAATTGCAGTAGTTTCGTCGATTCTTATGTACTTGTTTACAACATCAGTAGGTACGCCGTATTGCGGTATCCGAAGTGCAACAGTTATCTTCTATACACCGGATAATCCAGGAGCATCAGTGGCATCATCAGTTTGGATAAAGTACTAATTGACTTGTTGAATATCATGTAAGATACTAACAAATAATGACCGCCTCATTCGAAAACATCTCCAAAAGCATTTTCTTGGGTAGACAGGATTATTTCCAGAGTAATCTCTTTAAATTTGTTTATCGTCTTTAACCCTCTTACGAGTAATGTATCGACGACCACTTGTGGAACCAACATGTCTGCTTGGTTGGTTTAAGATTAATGATTGTATTCTTTGTTGTTGAGCTGTTAACAGTTGCATCATCATTATATCATCATCAGATGATGAAGATTCATCAAAATCTCCATTGACTAAGGCTTTATTGAAATTGTTCATTGTGGGTGGCTGAATATGAAAATTATAGAAAATCTTGTGGGTGTGTACAGAGAGTTTAGAAGATATAAAAATTGTCGATATGTGAATATGAAAATTGTAGAAAACCTTGTGTTATAATTTATAGAGAAAATTGTGGGTAGGTAAATAATGGGTGGTTGTTGGTGGGTGGTTGTTAGTAAGTGAATGGTAGATAAATAATGGATGATTGTTGGTGAATGAATACTGAGTGAATGATGGATGATTGTTTGTGGGTGGTTGTTGGTGAATGAATGCTGGGTGAATGATGGATGATTGTTGGTGGATTGTTGTTAGTGAATGAATGCTGGATGAATAATGGATGGTTATTAGTGGGTAGTTGGTGATTGTTTATTTTTTAATGTAGTTAATAATTTTTTTTAGTGGTATGTTTTTTGGTAGAGTAAATTATATTTATTTTTATTTTTTTTGGAAATTTTTAAATTTTTTTTTTAATTTTCTATATTTGTGTAGTCGGATATAATGTAAATATATAATTTTTTATTTTTTATTTTTTATTTACAAACAATTGAAAAAATGTCACAAAAGACAAAAAATAAACAAAAAAAAAAAAATACAAAAAACTTATATCCAAACGACACCTACAAACTTAGAGAAAAAGTTGGTTCATATTTGCCAAAATAGCATATAACCATTGGAACATTATTGCTATAATTTGACAAAATAGCACTATTTATTGCCAAATTATAGTAATGTCAATGCTATTTTAGCAAACACCATTGGAATGCTCTTACAACAACAATGATATGCACTTCACTCCAATAATATTGTCAAGTTGTTTGGTTTGAATTTTCTGAATTTACTTTTTAGAAGATTGAAAGTTTTTATTTTTCATATTTTTTTATTTTCATTGATTTTTTAAAAATATTTTAAGTAATTTTTTTTAATTTTTAGATACACATAACATAAATACCCTTAAAAAGTATAATATTTGTGAAAAGAATCCTTAAAAAATTCACTAAACACCAAAAATATAAATTAAAAAATATATATAAAAATTCATTATATTTTTCGTATTCTTGTGCATTTATTAAAATTTTAAAATATATTT